GTCAGCATGTATGGAGTACCAAGGTCCTTTTTTTTTTTTTAAGTTTGCCTTGTTTAATTATATTGACACATGTAATTTGTGTTTTGTTTTGTGCTTCTCCACGTAAAATTTTCAATTCAATATAGTGATTGGAATAATTTATATCCACCATTTGAGCAATTCAAAGTGGTAAACTTTTTTAGGAAAGAAAATTGTTGCGGTAGACAGCCCCGTTGGACGTTTGGGTCTGACAGTTTGCTATGATTTGAGGTTCCCTGAGATTTATCACCAGTTGAGATTCAATCATGAAGCACAGGTACAAGCAAAGCAATTTCCTCATCTTTATAGAGTAGAGGGTTCTTTTGTGCCTAACATGTACATATTGTGATCCAATCTGTAGGTGTTGTTGATTCCTGCGGCTTTCACAAAAGTTACTGGCCAGGCACACTGGGAAATTCTTCTTCGTGCTCGTGCCATAGAAACGCAATGTTATGTACGAAATCTGAATCATCTCATGCTGTTATAATAACAAATGATTATGATATTTATTACTATTATTAGTATTTATAAAGAGTAGTATGACTGGAATTAATGTGATATAGGACAGATTTATTTCAATATGCATGGCTTTGATTGTAAACTTTTATGAACTGAATTGACATCAAATTATATATCTTCTGAAATAATCATGCATGCCCAACAAGAACTCAAATTTTCAATGTCATATATTGCTAAATAGTTTAACTTCGTTTCTTGTTTTAGGATTTTCACAATTTTTGCTAATTGCAACAAATCATCCCTTATTTGTGAAACTTTGAATTTTATTGATTTAACACTTTCAATGCGATTTTTTCAACATGTTTGTGATAAAAGTTTAAGAATTAATCCTGAGTGGGACCTCGTTTCTTTAAGAGAGAGAGAGTAAAACAAAAAACTGTATGAGGCTTTTTTTTTGGGGAATGCAGCTACAAATTTTTTTAGGGGGGGTGATAGTTGATGAAAAGTCAAAAGCATTATATATATATAGAGAGAGAGAGAATGGGGCCATAGGCAATGAATATGAAGCACGGACACGCCGACACGCAAAATTTCAAAAAATTGGGGAGACAACACACTGAGGACACGTTCAATATATATAATTGAATTTATTTATTATATGTCATAAAATTATAATTAAATTTATTTATTATATGTCATCAGGTATGTCATTAGTACTACCACCCACAGTAGCCATTGCCATATTTCAGAATTAAAAAATGGTTCCTATAACGAAATTAATAAACATTTATCATTGAAATTAACAAACTAATTTGTTCTTATAAATTAATCAATCAAAAAAAATATAAATAAATAACAGAGATAGAGACAGAGAAAAGCAACAAAAAAAAAGAGACAAAACTAAAAATAAAAAGTCGAAGAGAGAGGTTACTTTAGCATAAAAATAAAAATAAAAAGACGAAGAAACAGCGAGAGAGCGACTGAGAGAGAAGTCGAACGAAAAAGAAAGCGAGAGAGTGACTAAGAGAGAGAGATTGAAAAGCAAACAGAAAAGATCGAAAGAAGAAGAAGATCAAACGAAGAAGAAGATAATCGAAGAACATACCTGTTAAAATTTACCATCACCTACCACCAATTTACCATCACCTACCACCACCTACTCCTCACCTACTACACTCACCCTCTCCTATATAATGAGCCACTCACCATTTGTAATATACACAAGAACATCAATATCAATCAATAATACATCAATTTTAACATGGTATCAGAGCCAGTTTAGAACCTAGTATTTTTGTTTCACCGGCGGGCGGCAATTTCGCCTTGGCCGCCCGCCGGACCTCAACCTAATCCGCTAAAATTTTCTACACATACCTTGAAATTTCTTCGAGTCCACCACCACTGTTGACCTTAACCCGTCGCTGCAGTCCTTTCACTCTGATCAACGGCTGGACACTTTCTTTACACATTTTTCTCCATGACCTGCACACAGCAGCACATGCAACAACGTGCTTGCGAGCAGGCCATGTATTCTCACTTGCCTCCAGCCTCTTAATCACATCACGAAGAAGTTCTGGTGGGAGGCTAGCCCAACAGCTATTCTGGATGACGAAAGGCTGGTCATGCAACTCATGGACGGCACCATGAGATTTCCCCCTGATATGCCCAGGCAGCTTTTGTTAAAATTTACCATCACCTACCACCAATTTACCATCACCTACCACCACCTACTCCTCACCTACTACACTCACCCTCTCCTATATAATGAGCCACTCACCATTTGTAATATACACAAGAACATCAATATCAATCAATAATACATCAATTTTAACAATACCTTCAATAATAGCAAGAGCAAAGAGAAACGAGCAACCTTCTCGTAGTCTCTTCTCTTCTTTATGTTCGACATCTAGGTTAGAAATTGGTTTAATTGCTTCAATTTTTGTTTTTTTACAAATTGACCCCTACTTGAAGTTTTTGAAATTATGTTTTTGATCCCGCGATGTCCGAAACATGTCTCTCACGTGTCCGGCTGCAAAAAAATAAAAAATAAAAAATGGGACACCTTCTGGGACGTGTTGGACACGTGTCCATAGCGTGTCTGATATGTGTTTGTGTCTGACACGTGTCCGACACTGATACGTAGCCTTCGGAGAAGTATCTGTGCTTCATAGCAATGACTTAATGCTTGAGTAGGGCTACAAACAAGCTGAGCCGAGCCGAGCCGAGCCTAGACGTTTTGGTCTATTTATTAAGAGTTTAATGAGCTTGAGCTTGAGCTTGACCCCGAGCGCAATAAAAATTTAACGAACTGAGTTTGAGCCAAGTTAGCTTAGGCTTGACTTGAACTCGAGCTTGTTCACAAGCCTTAACGACCTAAATAAGTTATAAATCCGTACTTGCGTATTAAACTAAAATTATAATTGAAACTTTGATTGTACAATTATATATACAATATATATATATATATAAACAAACTAAAAAAAAAGTCAATATCTTACCAAAATAATAATATTTACCACTACTATTATATAAATGTATTATCTATAGTTAGCTATTATTTACATTTCTATTATTTAATTATATAAATAACATATTTATCCTATTTTTTTATACATAATTTTATATTATTTAATATATAAATAATATATTTATTCTATTATTTAAACAAATGTTAAACGAGCCAGTTAACGAGCCAAACTTTAGTATGTTTGAGCTTATCTTTATTAAGATTTTAACGAGCTCGAGCTCGAGTGCGAACGCAATAAAAATTTAACGAACCGAGTTCGAATGAGTCCTTACTGAGCCGAGCTCGAGTCTATTTACGAACGACTCTGTTTATTTGCAGCCCTATGCATGAGCCAGCCTTGTGTTCATTGGGTGTCACTCTTGGATTATAGTATGATGATTTGTTGGTCTGCTAACCATGAGATTTATTACTTTTGAAGCTTTGTAACCTGGCCACTCTTCTTCTTTAATATCACCATCACGTTCTTCTTTCAGCTGAGGTAATTAGGAGACTCATTTTTACATTTTCTCACTACATCACACATATTGACATGGTTGCATAACAGGCACATATGAGTTTTCAATCCCATGTTGTGGCCACTGTTTTTCTCTCTTTGTATTTATGGCAAGACTGTGTGACAGAGCTAGTGTTCATGTGTGCTTTCTTATGTATTGGTAATTTTAGGGAAATAACAATGGTAAATGCATAATCAGGTTATAGCTGCTGCACAAGCTGGAAACCATAATGAGAAAAGAGAGAGCTATGGTGACACCTTAATAATTGATCCGTGGGGGACTGTAGTTGGTCGGCTACCTGGTGAGAACTATTTCCCTTTGCATATTTTGGTGCTTCATATATGACTGCTTGCCTCTCTTCTTAGAATTGTAATTGTAATTCTCTCTCTCTCTCTCTCTAATGAGCTAGGATCATGTTTGCAAATTGCAGTAAGTGAACTTAAATTTTGAGCAATTTTTTTGCTGTTTATAGTATTTATTTTTGTCCTTTTTGTAATGCAATGTGTTATGTCGTCTTTATTGATAAAATGCTGAATCTCAAGTAGGGAAGAAACTATGGTTGTGTTGACATGTAATTACTGTATCCGCAGAAAACATTTGACTTTCAATACTGGGAATAGTCTTCTTCATCTTCTATTATTTCCTCACGTTTTCCCCTCATGACACTCTAGCCACCTGAGTAGAACTTGGATTTGCTTTAAGAGCCCCCATTAATTGGAGCTGCCCCTTTTGTGTGGTTCATTTGTGGACTTTGGACCCAAAAAATATTGGTGGTTTACTTCTAAAAACAAGCTAAATTCGGCCCTGAGGAAGTGATATGATTGATAAAGTCACCAGTAGGTCTGCCTATTCACAACCTGCACTTAAACAAGTATACAACTTCCCAATTTTGCAGCTCAAGAGCATACCAATGGATCAAACTATATTTTATTGACTGGTTTTCAATTATTTTTTATATTATTATTATTATTATTTTTTATCTCTGTCAAAGATTTACAGTAGTTGAGCTACCAAATAATTACAGTAGACTAGTGATCTGAATCATTTAAGGTTGGATTAAACATAACCAAAATTAAGTCTCTGACAGTGAAGATGGGTTGTTCTGTTACTTCTTAGAAGAAAGTGTTTTTCGTCCTATTAATTGGAATTTTTTGGGTGTCTGTATTAATGCTATGCCATTTTTTAGTAGAATGTCATTTCTAACACTCAAGGTGGGTGTAAGAAGAATTTAAGCATGTCCTCTTTGCTCATATTCATGCTTTATTTTTCCGTTTCAGATCGACTATCAACAGGCATTGCTGTTGCAGATATTGATTTTTCATTGATCAATTCAGTTAGAGCAAAGATGCCAATTTCCAAGGTAAAATTCTGTATAACTGTTTCCTGAACACAATGGACAAAGCTCTATTTGTCTTTACTATTCCTACATTATTATGTTATCTTAGTCCTATTTCCTAATACATTTATCCTATAGAAAGAGCCTGATAGTCAGGGGTTGTTTGGAGTGTCCTAAATAAGTGCACTTTTTGTCTTTTTAGACTAAAAAGTTGAGGGAAAAAATATGGATGTTTGGGTTAACTTTATGACTTTTTATGGAAAAATTAGTGCGTAGGGAAAAATTAGGATTGAGAGTTGTGCAGCCGTAATTTTTGATTTTTGGTGAATAGTGATAACTTTTTAACTTTTTGAGTAACTTTTTGACTTTTTGGCTTTTTTTACACTTCCCAAACTTGGCCTCAATGTGTAGTTAATTCTTCTATATTGGTGATTTTTTTAGCCCTAATTTCCTAACAATGTGTAGTTAATTCTTCTATATTGGTGATTTTTTTAGCCCTAATTTCCTAATTTTGTATCAACCAACCAAATTTATAAGGCTCTCACAGGAGAAGATGGTTTATTGGGTATATATCATATATGTATAATCTAAATGATGATGTTCGATTTTGATGAATCTTCTAGTTGTATTTCCTTGGTGTTTGGGACATTACCCATTGTTGGTTCCTATAATCATGGGCATTGGGAGGCGTAAGATTGAAGACAAACATAACCTTTGCCAATGTTTGCATGACCGCCCTTTGACTTGAACCTGCATTCTTACACTTGGCAGCCTGTGCTTTTACCATTGTACCTAGTAATGCCCCTCGTATGAGTTCGAAATTATTTGTATGTTCTTCTGCAACACTATAATATCTATTTTCCTATCACTATAAGAGGACTGGCCTCAGCCTCAGCCTCTTCCTTGTTTCTTTCTAGTATTGATATGGCGGTTTCTCAGGATTGTGGCTGGTTGCATCCTGTTTAATTGAGTTGTAACAGGAGAGACTATGGATACTGGGCCTCACATGTGCTGAGATTTTTTTTATTTTTTATTTTTTTTTCAGTGAATCGCTGCAGCCACTTTTGCTTTATTTCAACTCTCATATACATTCTTTTTCAGCATCGGAAGCCTGATGAATTCTGGAAGTCAGCTTCTTTGTGAAACTAGAAGGTTGGTGTCATATGATTACCTCCTGTTACCTAGATGGATGGTCAAAAACTGGGTTAAATGCGTCAAATTTGCATGAAAATTACGGTAATTGTGGTGGCTGCCATTCCCGCGCATTCTTATTTTTCCGTTGACAGTTGTTGTAATGTGTTGTCAGAATAAAAATGTATACTATCACATGCTTTCTCACAATGTTGAATAATTTGCATTAGTGATTCATGCAAGCATGGGGTGACCATTCTTGGCACTCTTGCAGATCTTAGTGTGGACTAGCAATGCCCATTATGGAATAAATTGTTTGTCTATTGTTGTAATATCTTCATCTTCATCTTCAACTATTTATGTATTTATTTTTTTTAATGAAGAAAGAAAATTCTGCTATTGTTGTAAGATGCAATATTTTTTCCTTTTCTTTTTTCTTTTTCTTTTTATTCTTGTAATTTTTTGAAAACACAATATATATATATATATATATATTATTTAATGAATTATTTTTGAATAATTTTTTTCGCAAACATTAGTTTCTAAGAAACTTTAAAAAGTTGATTTTGTACAAAAAAAATTAAAGTATACAATTAAGAAAATTCGTGTTTTTAAACCTTCTATTTCAGGAAATAGGGAAAAAAAATCAAAGCAAAAGCAAAGCAACCAAATAACTTCGCAAAACTTGTGCTAAATGCGTGCCAATTTCAACTTTTACTAACCACTAATGTTCCGTTTGTTTGGGTGAAATATTTTTGGATGAGAAATGTTTATAATGAGAGAGAGAGAGAGAGAGAGAAGCAGTACTAGAGAAAATTCACAAGTCCATATAACTCAAACGAAAAAAGGAAAACTATTTTCCTTGCTTCAGCAAACCGGGAAAATCAAACAATTATGACAACTGCTTAGGTATATTACAAAAGAATTACCATATATTTCTTCACTCTTCCTCAACAAAATATCAACATCGAAAAAAAAGAAACAAACCAAAAAGTATATTAAGTATAAACAGTCATTCCTATGTAGTCAAGCCAAAGTGTCCTAACTCTTCATAAATCATCACCACCGAAATTCTTGCATAGAATCTGGACTGCCAAGAAGGTCAAAAGGTTTGGCTAGGGTGTCTTTCAAGATCGAGATCTGCCCTTCTTTAAGAAGTACATCTTCATCAAGTACCTCTATCTTCTTCTTCAATACGTTAACCTCGGAGTTCAACAACATGTTTCTCTCGCTGTATTGCTTTACCTCTTCCCACATCAAATCTCTCTCCTCCGATACTTTTGGTAGTATGCCTTTCAAAATAGCTAATTCCTTTGTACATTCTTGGAGTTCACTTTGAAGCCGATGTACGTTCTCGTCCTTCTTAATCAACTACTCAACAGGAGCAAAAACAAAATAATAGATTTAATAAGGCAAGCCTCAAACAGCTGAAGCAATTGTTTCGAGCATCACTTACAATATTTAGTACTTTGTAATCCATCATTAGTTCAATCAAAGAAGAAAAAGGAAAGTAAAAGATTTAAGAGAATCCCATTATGAAAATTGATAGGCCACTTTGAAACAAGTCAGGCAGAAAATATATTACAAAACACATCCAGCTCCAGTAGAATACACCACAGAGAAACATATAGAATATAAACATTTGTATCATCATCCATGTGTAAAGAATGTATGGTCATCCTCTAAACCTACCATGCCAATGAAATAGCAGAGATTCATGACAAATTTTTGCTTTACCAAAGTAGTTCAATATGTCATCTCTCAAATCATTGTACTTTTTAACTCTCTCAGTGTCACTAGACATAGTGTTGTTACCAAAAATAGTTAATATGCTAACAACTTACAATTTGGATCGCACTTTCCAAAACATGGTATGTTTTTGTTCTAAAACAATAAATCTAGTAATCCAAATATATATATTATTTATCTAAACATTTTCCTTAGAAGAAAAAAAAATCAACTATACTAAATTAAAATTCAACAAAAATGGGGTTTTGGAAAGATACAATGCGAGATAACAGGGCCATGATGCTCCTAGAAATGTGCTTTTACAATAATAAAATTACCTAAATTATTAATTGAAACATATTTTTAATATCATTAAAAACTGTTAATTGACTTGATAATTTATTAATAAAATTGACGATTTGTTATGAAATTAGAAATCTCAGAGGGTGGAATATAATTTTCAAAATCACAGGAAGTGATTCGTATTTTAATCAAATCTCAGGGAGTGTATTTATAATTTACCCATTTGATTTTGTAACATCCTCCTTCAGACCTTCATAGTAGTTTACATTTTACCCCAAACTAATCTTCTTAAGGAAAAGTAGACTAGAGTCAAATGACATATTACAAAGGTCCTCTTCCTAAATATGCCCAACAACAATTCATCAACCATTACAAATTCAAATTTACAAATACTTTTCCTTAAGAAGATTAGTTTGGGGTAAAATGTAAACTACTATGAAGGTCTGAAGGAGGATGTTACAAATAAAATGATAAGAGATTCAACATTAAGCTTTTTAAAGAAGACACGATAATGACATTGTACACATACCTGAAGTTCAAGATCTTTCATCTTATGGATCATACAGGAAAGGTTATCCATTGCATTTTGGACTTCACACCTGAGCATGTCATTACCTCTAACACCAGCTGCCAGCTCAGCTTGCAGTTGCTCCACCTCTACCTCTTTGGAATATAGCTTTTCTCGCAATAAACTTGTTAGTAAAGTTTCTGCTTTAAGCTCTGATCTTAAAATGTCCTATATAAGTAAAATTTAAATGTCAAACCCCACATTGAAATGAAAAACCATGTATTGAGCAGATATTCAGTTCTACAAATAAATATTACCTCCGAGCTCTGTTCAACAAGATGGCCTGATCCATCACCCAAGCAATCTGAATGAGATTCCACGACTAGCTTACTTGGAGGACACACGTGTACATCTCTTAAACACACATGTCTATCAATTAGACACATGTGAAACTAATTATAAGTTTGAACAAAACAACTTAAGATACAATAATAAAACAAAAATTATATAAATTTATAGGGATTAATGTCATATTGCATTTTTTTTATTATTTTTGAATGATATATTCATATATATAACATATAATAAATATATAAAATTATATATTTCATGCGTGTCCCCCACGTATCGTGTCCTACATTTTTTGAAAATTATCGTGTCGGTGTGTCCGTGTCGTGTCACGTGTCCGTGTCCATGGTTCTTAGATTGAAATGAAAAACCATGTATTGAGCAGATATTCAGTTCTACAAATAAATATTACCTCTGAGCTCTGATCAACAAGATGGCCTGATCCATCACCCAAGCAATGTGAATGAGATTCCACGACTAGCTTGGACTTCTCATTCAGCACAACAGAAATTGTCTGTAAACTCCGTGTTAGGCTTTCCGTTCCCCTCTTGAAGCTCTGGACCTTCATATCGGATTCAACAACAAGTTGTCCATCTAAACCATTCTTCATATATTCAATACCCTGCTTAGTTTCTTGATTTTGGCTTGCTTTCACTTTGATGTATTCTAGTAGCTTTGTACAAAGCTGGGTGCTCTCATTAAGCAATGGCAGCGCTTGATTTTGCATGCAGCAAACACGGTTCAACAGTTCCTGATCTAGCTTGAAAGCCAAAAAGCCACCGTCCTTTCTGCCGGCTTTTAGACGGTGCAATAGGTTTATGTTTTCATGCCGCAAAGAATCAACTTCAAGCCTATGAGATTCCACCTCCTTCCTCAAAGCCTGCTCCACTCCAGTCAACCTTATTTGCTCCATCTGCAATTTCCCCAACTGCTTATCAAAGTTCTCTTGAGAAGCCTTCCTCTCAACTTCCTCACTAAGCCCTTTTTGCAACCCATCAATCGTCTTCTCTTGTTCACTGCATGTTCTTATCAATCTAGCTATAGATCTGTGCAACTCCTTGCACTCTTTCTCTTTCTCTTGCCAGTTTCTTTTGATGCAATCTTGATCTTCTCCTGCTGCTCTATACTTCTCCTGTAACTCAAAAAGATTTTGTCGCAAATTTTGATTCTCCTTGTCTGTTTCCTCCGCTCTTGTAGTCAGGTCCTTAAGTTGCTTCTCTGAATCTGCAAATCTGCTTCTACTTTCCGTTTCCCTCTCACTTAAGGAAGAGAAATCCCTTTGGAGTGAGACGTTCTGCTCTGCGAGCTCCCTAACTCGCCCACGAAGCCTATGCTCTTCTGCCTGGTATTTCTCAAGCTTGAATGACCAATCACTTGATCTTCTATCCAACTCCTTCTCTAGTGCTGATTGCAACTCCTTCTTTTCCTTTTCCAGTCTTCGGGTCTGTGAGTCCAATTCTGCCCTCGACAGTCTGAGTTCTTCCCTGGCTAAAGCCCTCTGAGCAATTTGGGCCTGTAGGACAGCTGAAATCTCATGTGCCGTGCTTACCCTCTCCTTGGTTATGTTTCTAATTTTCTGGATCAGAGCCGGCTCACCGAAACTGAACCCACTGTCCTCAAGAAAGTCCTCTTCCTCAAGCTCTTCTGAAAGTAACAAGAACCGCTCCTCAGCTTCCTTCAATTTTCTAAGTAGTTCTGCATCTACGTCCTCTTCAGCCTCAACAGAGTTCACAACTCCATAATTATCACGAGGGAAAACTGAAATCAGCCCACGAAGCCTATGCTCTTCTGCCTGGTATTTCTCAAGCTTGAATGACCAATCACTTGATCTTCTATCCAACTCCTTCTCTAGTGCTGATTGCAACTCCTTCTTTTCCTTTTCCAGTCTTCGGGTCTGTGAGTCCAATTCTGCCCTCGACAATCTGAGTTCTTCCCTGGCTGAAGCCCTCTGAGCAATTTGGGCCTGTAGGACAGCTGAAATCTCATGTGCCATGCTTACCCTCTCCTCGGTTATGTTTCTAATTTTCTGGATCAGAGCCGGCTCACCGAAACTGAACCCACTGTCCTCAAGAAAGTCCTCTTCCTCAAGCTCTTCTGAAAGTAACAAGAACCGCTCCTCAGCTTCCTTCGATTTTCTAAGTAGTTCTGCATCTACATCCTCTTGAGCCTCAACAGAGTTCACAACTCCATAATTATCACGAGGGAAAACAGAAATCAGCCCACGAAGCCTATGCTCTTCTGTCTGGTATTTCTCAAGCTTGAATGACCAATCAATTGATCTTCTATCCAACTCCTTCTCTAGTGCTGATTGCAACTCCTTCTTTTCCTTTTCCAGTCTTCGGGTCTGTGAGTCCAATTCTGCCCTCGACAATCTGAGTTCTTCCCTGGCTGAAGCCCTCTGAGCAATTTGGGCCTGTAGGACAGCTGAAATCTCATGTGCCATGCTTACCTTCTCCTCGGTTATGTTTCTAATTTTCTGGATCAGAGCCGGCTCACCGAAACTTAACCCACTGTCCTCAAGAAAGTCCTCTTCCTCAAGCTCTTCTGAAAGTAACAAGAACCGCTCCTCAGCTTCCTTCGATTTTCTAAGTAGTTCTGCATCTACGTCCTCTTCAGCCTCAACAGAGTTCACAACTCCATAATTATCACGAGGGAAAACTGAAATTTTGTTGTGGTGATATCCATTGGTGGTTTCATCAGATCCATCCGGTGGACAACCCTTTTGGGAAACCTCATCTGCATTTAAACTAGGGCATCGGTTCAAGGATACACCATAGATATCTTCAATTGTGATTGGAGCATCAGGGCCAAATTCCTTTGAACTTGTTTTGGGCAAAACATGGGATTGACTAAGTCTTTCAATCACATGCTTTGCAATTCTCCGTGGAGATTCATGCCCGTATCCATTCTCGACACAATCTCTGGACCAAAAATAAGGTTGAGTTCCCTTTGTTTCCCTAAATGAATGAGATCTTGGTTTCTCTTTCATACAATCAGTTGGTGAAGCAGGTGCTGTATACTGAACTCGTGGGGGACGCTTTCCCGCTCCATTTCCGATGTGATTTCTCTGGGATGGATCACTCTTTGGTGAACTCCTTTCCTGCTCTTCTTCCCCATCAATGTAACGGTCCACGACTTTATTTGAGACATTACTAGAGCAATTTGAAGAGCTTTCCAAGTAATCATAGTAACCTCTTGAAGAAGAGGAAGAACCGGGCTTCTCTACCATGTTTGCATTTTGGACAACAGCTGTTTCAAAGCATTTTGGCCTGGATTGTCTCTCAGGAGTAAGCGCACGACAACTAACACAAATCACAGCAGGTCAAATTAGTTCAAGAAGCAATTCCACATGTACATAGATAATTTACTAAACGGGTTAGATTAGAAGATGAGATAAGCCAATCGAATGCCTCACCGAGATGAACGGCGATCTGATCGTTTGTGTGAAATAGTACTGCTATTACAAGGAGACCCATTTTGGTCGCCAAAGCGAGATAAATTTTTCTGTCCTAGCCCATCTTCATGAAACACTGCTGACGAGAATGAAAGGCTCCTTCTAAGACATGGACTGGTACCAGACGTCTGGCTTGCAAATACTTGATTTCGAGTTTTGGAAGAGCCCCTGGGACTTCGGAAAGTATTCTCAGCCTTGTCAGTAGATTGATTATTCAGTCTACTGTCTGATGGATTGTTGTTTCCATTGCTAGAAGCAGAAAATCTAAAAAAGAACTTCTTCATCTCTACGAGTTCAACTGGGATTGCTGACCAAAGCTCATAAGATAGTCTTGCAAGAGCCGCCTTGCAGTTCTGATCAGCTGTGCCTAGTTCTAGTGGAAAGAGGGAAAAATTAAAAAATCAAAGAAATACCAACACTAATGGGATTGGTAAGATGAAGAGAAAACCAAATGGTTGAACATAAGTAAATAATAAATCATGTTTCAGATCATATTACATTTATCACATACATAGTTTTGGGTATTAAAATATTGTATAGATGCTGTGGAAACATTAAGAAAAAGGGCAAATTTTGGAATGATAAAATTGAGAACCTCAATAACAGGACTAAAGAAAATGTGTTGCAACTTCCAAAAATTTATAACAAGATGAATGGCCTGGCCTGAAAATAGTAACCACAAGGAGCCTAAGGAAAAAGAAAATAAAAACCTTGAAAGAAGATTTACATGTAATAACAAACATACTTGAATTCAACATAGTTAACAACAACAACAAAAAGCTAGTAGAAGACCAACCACCTAAACAATGCTCACCAATCAACCATTTCACAATCTTCAATGCCAAAAAATAAGAAAGATGAACAAGCTCCCCACATGTACATGATATATGGTCTTGCTTGTACATGTGGGGAGCTTGTTCATCTTTCTTATTTTTTGGCATTGAAGATTGTGAAATGGTTGATTGGTGAGCATTGTTTAGGTGGTTGGTCTTCTACTAGCTTTTTGTTGTTGTTGTTAACTATGTTGAATTCAAGTATTCATACCTTTATTCCGAGATAAATTCTTGAAGCAAATCTGAATGGTAAAGCACCAGAGCACCAAGCAAGAAGATTATCAAACCTGACCAACAGCCATAAATAAATAAGTACTAAAAACAATTATATATATTAAATATAAAATAAAATAAAAAAAGAGCCTTTCGAGAATTAAACAATAGAGCAAAGACTTAACAATGCTGATAGCTTTACAACCCTAATCCTTCCTTCCCCAAATAACAATAATTATACCAACAAATAAAAAATCAAAGTAGATAGAATAGATATAAATACAAGCATATATGTCAGTGTACTGTACTGTACATACATTTATTATTGATTTCAGTGAGTGAGAAGAGAGTGAAGCATTGATTTCAGCAACCTATTTTTCTGTTGCAGAAATCATGAACCCTCAAAAAGAATCAATCAATGTGTTTCTGACCCATTATTGAAAAATAATCATAGTGTCAGCCTTTCTGATTAAGATCAAGTTAATCAAGCCGGACCAAGACCATGTGACCCCTCACCCATCTAATCCCCTTGTTTCTCTAAACCCTAAAAAACCCTTTTTCTCTCCTACCCTATCTGCCTTAAAATAAACAAATCAAAGCTTTTTCCCCACCAAAAAAGCAGTAAATTTCATGGATACCTAAATTCAAGAAAACCAATTTGATATTCCAAGCGATTTCTGCAATCTAATAAAACAATTCTCAACAAATTCACAAAACCCAGTTCGATTCTCTCTCTCTCTCTCTCTCTCTCATCACCTGAACTACTCTCTCACGAACACAATCTAACAAACAATTTATCAAACAAATAGAGTGCACCCATTTCTCTTCGATTTTCCCTGGAAACGAAATAGAACAAACAAGATTTACCTACAATTTGACGCGCCTGCCTCTCTCTCTCTCTGTAACTTCAATCAATGCAAGACGACCGTTGCACTACAGTCTCTTGTAAGACACAGAACCCAGAAAAAACAGGTTCCGAGGAATTCAAAGAAACTCCCAAAAAATTCATGAATTCATTCCATGTTCGGCAAGATCATAATTTCTTTGAACATCGAATCAAGTAATCACTGTGTAGTAATAAATTGTCAAATTCCAAGTCAAAGATTTTCCAATGATTCAAAATTCAAAATATACAAATTCAACTAAAAGCAAAGCATCCCGAAATTACAGGAACACATATACTCCTCAAGTCAAGATGCGTCCCCACACATAGAAGAATTCTCTTCATTACAAACCAACACATACATACGTATATACCTATACCATATATACACAATTATACATCAACAATATACACATTATAGTCTTGTTTTGGGAATTAAAAGCTTACATTTTGATTTTTTTTTAAAAAACATATAAAAAAAATAAAAATCGTGCGACTCAAAAAATTAAAAAGCGACTTTTAATCGAGTTCTCAAAAGAAGCCATAGAGATAGGCTTACTGAGTCGGAAGTAGTTGACGGCGTCAGAGGCCGGCGACTAGAAAGGTTCGAAATCTAGAGAGAGAGAGAGAGAGAGAGTGGCAGAGTCGTTCGTTTTTACCGACTCTTCTGTGTGTTGTGGTGGAAGAGTATAAGAGACAGAAGAGAGAGAGAGGGGTAGTTTCGTCCGAAAAAATAAGTTTAAAATTTCGATGCCCGCGTATAAAGCGGTGGGGAGCGTACTTCTCTCTTGAGAGGGTGAGGAAAAATCAGAAGCGCTGTGGTACACTGAACTGTGAGGGAGGAGAGATTAGGCCTTGTTTGGTTTGTTTTTTAAAAAAAAAATTGAAAAAAATTATCAACAAATAAAATTTCAAGAATAATTAAACTAAACAAATTTTTTCAAAAAAAATTTTAAAATTTTGTTTGGTTACCTACTTTTAAAAATCACTCTCTTTCTCATACACATCAAATCAATCATTTTTTTTAAAATTCTCTCCCCAATACCATTTTTGAAAAAAGACAAATCAAACAAGTTTTCATATTTTTTATCTCAAAAACTACTCTACAAACACAAACCAAACACACCCGTTTGGTTTGTTTTTCAGAAAAATTTTTAGAAAAAATTCTTTACAAACAAATTTTTAAGAGTAATCAAATCAAACAAATTTTTTTAAAAAAAATCTCAAAATTTTGTTTGATTACCTACTTTCTAAAATTACACACTCTCTCTCATATACATCAAATAAATCACTTTTTTTTAAAACTCTCTCTCCCAAAATAATTTTTCAAAATCATTTTAAAAAAAAAGTAAACCAAACAAATTTTTATACTTTTTATCTCAAAAACTACTCTACAAGTACAAACCAAACATACCCTAAACTCCAGCAGTTAATATTTTAATTGAAATCTGTCCAAAATTTTGTTGCACTTGAAGCCATTAAATACTACTAAGAGAAACATCTAGGAAAAATATGAATTGATTCTTATATTTTAGTGTTTCTAAATTTAAATTTTGAAATTAATTATTTTTTTTTTTAAATTCTTAAATTTGAATTTTGAAATAAATTTGTTACATTTCCTTTTCAAATTCGCGAGAGCCAATGTATTTAGGAAGATTAGGGAGATTAGGAAAGAGTTTTTTTTTTCCATTTATTTATCATTCTTTTTTGAAAATCATAAATTATGGGATTATTTATATTTTTAAAATTGATAATTTAATAGATTAGTATTTTTATAATTTATTTTTAATTATAAAATATTCAAAAATTTACTATGAAAAATTAGAGCACTCACAAGGCTCTTAGTTAAAAAGACTCTTTGACTCTATATATAGATAGATAAATAGATAGATAGATAATTAAATTCTATTGAATGGTTTATCATATTAAAATTTGAAATGGAAAAATATATATTCTTTTTGGAAAAGTGATAAATTAGGGAACAATTATATTCTAATGAATTGCTTTCATATACTGTCACAAATTTAAATTTTGAAATGGTTAAACAAAATTTCCATTTAAAAGTTATAATTTATGGAATAATTAGAATTTTATTTATATGAATAAATGAGAATTAAAAAATAGATGATGAGTTAGCCAATAGTGTTTTTTTATGTAACTAACACACAGACATAAGAGGGTCGACCCTCTCCAGTCTGGTGTCTACCCTATTTTCCAGCAACACTTCCAGAAACTTCACCAACAGGTACGGGTCGACCCTTAGGAAGGCTCGTGTCGACCCTAGAATAGAATTTCTAAGTTCCCAAACAACTTTTTAACGTAAACAAGCGTGAACGAACAATCCCAACATGTTTAAATCGATTTGTATTCCTCCAAAACCAAGATATAACAACACCAAAGATTTTCAAAATAAAATAAACGATTCAAATACACTTCCCAAAAGCTTTGAAGGATATAGGTGCTACACAGGTTGCCATGTACTTCTACTAGGACTTGCCTCCAAAAGTAGAACCAGGTACTTTAAAGGCAATCTCTGGTGCTTGCAATTGAGTTTTGTTGCAAAATCTTGGCTAAGCTCATCAGACACCCCCACTCCACAAGCCACGCTCTTGTGGTAGTTAATCTATAATACAGATAATATCTCAAAGCATCTCAATAATCTTTTTATGTTTACTATTTCCATCTTCTCAGCATCACTAAACAATATGGTGTCATCTGTGAATTGTTAGTGAGTAATCCTTAGATCACTTGACCAAACATATGCCCCTTTTAGCTATCCCAAATGCTTTGATGTGACCAACAATACACTCAGCCCTTCAGCTGTTATGTTGAATAGGAAAGGTGATAAATGATCACCTTGTTTGAGGCCTCTTTGAGGGAAAAATGCTGAGGTTGGTGAGCCATTAACCAGAATTGAAATTCTAGCTGTTGTAACACAAGCTCTTATCCATTCCACCCATTTCATCCCAAAACTAAAATTTGACACCATTGAAAAAAGGAACTCCTAGTTGACAAAGTCATAAGCCTTCTCAAAATCAAGCTTGAGCACAATACCACTTCCCCCTAGCTTTCTTCCACCCTTTTACTACCTCATTTGCAATCAATCCACCATCCAAAATATTCCTTCCCCCTACGAAAGCTATTTGAACCTCACTAATTATCATTGGCATCACTTTCTTTAATCTATTGGATAGCACCTTAGCCAATATTTTATACAGTGAACCAACAAGGCTAATGGGTCTATATTCATTCAGATTGGAAGGGTACTCATTTTTAGGGATCAAAGCTACCATAGGTTTGCTATTTTATGAGTTACAAATTTAATACAAAATGCAAATTAGATTTACAATGGGTAAATGCCATAATATTTATTTCATAGTTTAATTTTGAATTCACCATAAATGTTGTTTAATATATAGTGGGAGACTTGAATTGTAAATTGATTAGCCTCATATATCTTTTATAAAGAGTTACAAAGAATTTATATATATTAAAAACATTTAATTGGTTATGATATATATCATTTGAAAATTGATGGTTTTGGGAGTTCTAAAGGTTTGAAAAATGTGGGATAAATTCAATTATGTTATTTGAGCTAGTTACATAATTATAATTGATGGAAGAGTTATTGTTTTTTCCTCTTTAAATTATTTGTTTATTTTATTTTTGAAAAAGGGTTGCATATTTTGAAGAGTTAGTTTGGAGTTTGATCAATGTTTTGTATTTTTTCAATCTGAAATCATTCACATTAATTGTAGTGAACTGAATTCATGAGTTACAAATGTTTGAATGTTTATTATATTCCATAAATTACATGATTTAATATAATGTGTTCATGTGTGTTCATGTGTTTTTAATTCTTTATAATGGTTAGCCGTTTAATACGCCTATTGCTCGAATTAATTGTCTCCACATTTATTGGTGGAAAATATTTTGGATTGGAATGTAGTGGGAAAAATTATTTTGTTCAATATCCATATAAAACAATTTCTTTTAAGGGTCTGGCTTTGGTCCAGTTTGCCATCGGACTAGACCGTGCTGTTGGGCTCGTGAAGACCCATCACGGGTTTCGTTTTGAAAATATGAACCGTTCAGTGTGTAGAACTCGTCGAGTACTATACGCTAGTGAAAAATCACGTTGATCGGATATTGATAACTATGTGATCAAAACAGTTTTTTATCAATTGTTAATTTATTCACTATCCATTTTTTTTATACAAAACTGATTTGATCACATAACTATCGATATCCGATCAACGTAATTTTTCACAGTCATATAATACTCGATGAGTTCTACACATTGAACGGTTCAGATTTTCAAAACGAGACCCGTGATAGACCCCTACGGGCCCAACAGTACGGTCCAGTTCTATGGCGGACTAGACCAAAGTCAGACCCTAAAAAAATATATAATATTTAATCTGAAAATTATTCCTGACATATATGAATAAAAATTTAATTAATTACTACCGCAATTACGGAATCATTAATAATAAAACATTTATTTATTTTTTAAAATTATATTACACTTTTCTTTTCTTTTCTTTTCTTTTTTTACACAAATCACCAGGCTATTAAAAAGGATTTATCTATTTCATGCTGAAAAAAATTCAAATTCAAATTTCTTAATGTGAAATAATGGTGTTTGGCCTTTTTGTCATGCATCATAATGCATAGCATTAATGTATTATATTCATTAGTGATTTGGTCCAATATGAATCTCATATTAGAATATGAGTCATGAAATGAATGGTGTAATAATTGCTCATTCTCAATGCGAAAGGTACACAATGATTATTAAAGAATTCAACCTCGTTTGGGAAGCAAAAATTGAGGTGTTTTTAGCTATTTTTTAGCAACAAAAAAAAAAAAAACTTTTTAATTCAATAAAATAAAATATCACATCTAACTCATAATCATTACATTATTTTTCTCACAAAAAAGTCAAAAAATTCCTAAAATCCTTTCCAAACCAAACTTTTTAGTCCCAGGCTAAAAAAGTCAAAAAGTCAACTCACTTCCCAAACGAATCCTGTGAAAAAAAACAAACCAACAACAACATTATAAGCCAATCAAGACAAAGAATAATGATATATGTATCAATTAATATATTAATTAGTATATTAACAGATGATATGACATAATTTTAGAAGTTTTAAATATTTGTAATTTGTATAATAGGTGGGTTCAGTAATACATAACACTAGTATGTGCATTAATTAGTACATATAACACCACTGCAAAACAAAACAATGGCTATGATAAATTATATTAAATATTTTAAATTTTCTTTATTGTTTGCTATTTTTGTTTCAAAAAAAAATATATGAATTATGAATTAGAAACAAAAACACACTTAGTGATTATTTTTTTTTTTGGTTTAAAAAAAAAAAGTAGCAAAAAAAGGTAGCAATTTGGTTGGTTTTGAATTTTCAAAAATAGCTTTTGAATATTTAAATTTTTTGTT